TTGGTCCGAACAAAAAGTATTTATTGCTTTTTTGTTGGAAAATACATGCATGTAAATGAAATAATTATGAGTTTTTGGTATTATCTACGACTACTGATTGAAATATTCGCGGTTGAATTTTAATGCAAAATTTACTCTTTCGAAGACAAATATTTTTGAATAAACTTTTAGTTGAATACTCCTACAACGCCTTTCATTAAATTATCGGTTCATTTAATACACTCACAACAATTTCCATTACATACAGCAGCGATCATAGAAAACGCATCAGCTGATTAAACAATCAAATGGTTCATATATGCATCCTGGCACTGGCTTAGCCTATTTATTAAATAAATACATTTTTAAGTAAATTCTTATTGGGCAGCAAAACTGTATTTAAGAATATTTATATTTGAAAGGATATGGGTACTTATTTTTTTTATTGTTATTACCCGTGTTTTTTATTTGTACAAACTACCAGTGTAAATTATTTTGAAGAGCCTTCTTCTACTTTAATAACAGATTCAATCAAAATTTGCTAAGTCTCGCCAGATGTAACACAGCAAAGTTCAGTAGATTATTTCGAACATCCTTTAAATAGTTCTTAATTTAATATTCTCCAAATATTTTCCATCGGGTGCATATCCTATTCCCGGGTCAATTTAGTGTTGGCATACCATGGTGGAGTAAAAATTCTTTAACCTACAAAGACATAAATGCTCAAATGGAAAACACAAAAAATACTAAACTTGCTGTGAAAAATGATTTTATCGCAATAAAAAAAATGGTTTTCCATTCAGGGCACAAATCAGCCCTTTAAAATTCGTATATATTTGCCAGCGTTCACGGTGCCGATTAGTTTCAGATCTCCAATTGCAAAACAAGCATAGAAGGACTATGCTTCGCCGTCTTCATGGTGCAGTTATTAGCATATATTTTACCTGTTCGACACTTTACGAACTGTTGACATTGGAGTTATTTGCCAGCGTGCGCGCCCTCACCCTTTTTCATAAATAAATGGCACAGAAATTATTTAAATGTTCATTTGTTCATAAAAAAAAATATTGAAAAAAAAAAATATTTTCGTAACACAAATAATTTCATTCTAAACTTTAATGTTTTTTAAATCTGCACCAAAAATGATTGTTTCATTCTGATACTTTCTTTCAAAGAAAAACAAAAATTTGCAAACACTGCAAAAATTTTTAATCGTTGATTAAAAAAAAAGCTATTTGGAATTTTGCAACAAAATTTATACTGTGACTACAAAACTCGGTGCTGCCTGAAAGTCATTGAATAATATTAATCGTAACAGTACGCACTGTTGACAGTGGAGTTGAAAGAGCATTATTTTTCTATCGTGAGAAAATATTACATTTCACCAATCGTACAGGGTCCAGGGCAACCGACGTCTAATTGTCGATCTTGTAGATCAATCCTTTCCTGTCTGCTGTACCAAAATCACTATCAGCCGTGTTCTGCAATCCGATTCGAATTGGAATCGGATTTGTTTCCGCGAGTAGGTCTTCTGCATTCTGGCAATCGGAAATTATTTCCTCAAAAATAAACCGATAGTAACGTCCAAAAGAGGTTACCGCAGCTTAGACAAGATAAAAACACTTTCGAAAACATTCGCAGGAACACCATTAAAAAGTGTAAGAAGCGTGGTGGAAAAAGAGACAGGTTTGAGTTGGAGCTAGAAAGTTTCGCATTGAAAAATCGTAAAAAGTCCTGAAATGGTTATTTTTTGTGTAAATTGTTCAATGTTTAAATTACATAACTACTTTTAATTAAATAGATATATTATTATTTGCAATTTCATCTCCAATTCTTTATGCTTCACTTGCAAGCTAATTTCCGTTGGTACATATCTATCTACTTCGCTATCGTTTTCTTCAACTTCTTCATAGTAAAATTCAAGATTGCAGTGGCGACAAATGTTATGCAGGTCAACACATTAATTATTTTCACAACCTTTCTGCAAGGTTCCTAATAAACACCGAAAACGACTTCGTCCAATAACCACGAAATGTGGTGTCTTATGAACGCAAATCTGAAATAAATGAGAAATTAATTTTACAAAAACCTTTTCACATAACATGAAGTCGTTTTGACAACTTACAACCGCCGCATTGATGCCAAAATTTCCTTTTCGATTTAAAAAAAAAAAGACACGTCTTGTGGTTTGCGTGACGTCGATACACCAAATCACGCCCGGTATACTAAATTGTTCGTAGAAAGAACTTTTGGCGGCCCCTCCCTCTTGCTCATTACAATTTTATCCACTTTGAACAAAGCCTCCGCTCCATAAGGGTAAGCATTTCTGGTATCACCTTGGTGACGGTGCTTTTTCCCAAAGCAATGTTCGAGTCCATTCCTACAGACCTTTGATGCCCTCCTTCGACACTGCGGGATTGGAACTTTTTTGTACACAAGGCTGGTAGACACCCAAAGTAATGAGGAACGCTGGTTTATTTTCCTTAGAGTGCAAGAGAGCTGTAATATAAAATGATAGTTAGAAGAGGCGCAAGAGAACAGTTTTTTTTCATATTATTTACGCAGAGTCCCGTAATTGCTGCTCTTTATTTAGCAAAATATCTAATAAAACAATTGAAAAAATTTTTGTATTCCTTTTTAATTTTTTCAAATGAAATTTGACACTTCAAAACAAAATTGACAAGTTCGTTGAACTCCGATTTCGATGCGATTCCGATTCCGACTCGGATTTAATTTTAATGTTTTAGTGGCAGCGAGCACAATAACGTTAAATTAATAGTTCACTTGGGTTTTTCGCTAATCGCTTGGCTCGGTAATCATCACCTCCAGCATAATAAAACAGTGCAGGGAGAACGTTAACTGACAGGCACGTCGTTGCACTGATCTGGGTGCCGTGGCATAGCAGAATTCATGGCAACGAGTTGGCTGACGAGCTGGCCAGGAATGGGTCGGCTCTAGATATCTCAGAGGCAGACAAACGTGCAAAAAATAGTTACGATACTACCAAGTCAATATTCTTACTAAGCCACTGGAAACTTGCACTTTATTGCACTAAAATTGAATGGGCTGTAAAACTGCATTCAAAAAATTTGTTTTAAAATTCTTAATATAAAATAGTCCCATATGTGTCGAAAACGGCGCAAGAGTTTCAAGTTTTCAAAAAAATATAACAGTTGTATAGCTTTTGCGTCGTTTTCGACGCGAAGACCAGCCAGCTTCCCGACATAAGCTACTATTCCATACGAACACAGATATGTACATATGTTGTTCCTCAAATACATACATACGCTCACTCCATTATATCTGCGTGCACCCTTGTTGAATATTTAACACCAAGCCGTAAAATCTGTATCGTTCGTTCGATTTTTAAAAATGAGGTGTCACATGAGAGGCCTTGTCCTTCGGGTGTGCAACGTAGCTTTAGTTCCATGAAAGGAGTTTTCACATGTTAGAAAATCGAATTCAAAATTTCTCTGCCGCAGAGGGTTGCGTTAAATATTTAACATCAAGTCATAAAATCTGTATCGTTCGTACGATTTTCAAAAATGAGGTGTCACATGAAAGGGCTTGACCTGCAGATGTGCAGTATGGTTTTAGTCTTTTAAAGGGTTGCCATATATACGAAAATCAAATTCAAATTATTTATTAAGTTAAACGAGTTATCCCAATATGGGTATCAAAAGAAATGGTTTTGAATAAGTTGTATTTTCTAGCTAAATGTAGGAGGGTTGCCACCTGTTTCAAAAGTAAAATTTAGTTAAATTATACAAAAGTCTTACGCTTAAAATACTATACAGTACAGAAAGAGCTTACAGAAACACAATTAAAATATTTTTGAGGTGCCTGAAGAGGGTGGCCACCTGTTTAAAAAGTTAAACTCAAATTATTGAGGCAAATCTTATTATTATAGCTCCTTTATGTTTGCGATAAATATTTAACGCCACGGTACAGGTAGCATATGACGGGTATAGAAAACGAATAGCTGCGTTAAACGCCAATTGGGCGGGAAAAGACTAATGCAAAGACTTGAATATAATCAAAAACAAATATATAGATAAGATGAAGATGAAGATGAAGATGAAGATGAAGATGAAGATGAAGATGAAGATGAAGATGAAGATGAAGATGAAGATGAAGATGAAGATGAAGATGAAGATGAAGATGAAGATGAAGATGAAGATGAAGATGAAGATGAAGATAAAGGTGAAGATGAAGATGAAGATGAAGATAAAGATAAAGATAAAGATAAAGATAAAGATAAAGATAGAGATAAAGATAAAGATAAAGATAAAGATAAAGATAAAGATAAAGATAAAGATAAAGATGAAGATAAAGGTGAAGATGAAGATGAAGATGAAATTATATATTTATATTAGAATATAAGTACATGTGTATGTATATCGCAATTTCTTTCTTTCTGGAATTTCGTCTATTAAGTTTCACTTCTTCCGCGCGTAGGGACTACACGCACTGAGTTTTATTATTTTTTTTTTTACCGACTTCCAAAAAAGGAAGAGGTTATCTATTCGTCGGAATATTATTTCATTTTTTTTATGTATGTTACCGCATAACTTTGGACCACGTCAACCGATTTCGATAATTCTTTTTTTTTTCTTTGTATCAGAATTGAAGGCGGTTTTTTTTTGCTAAAATTACTTGTATTGTATTTTTTTTATGTATGTTACTGCATAACTTTCCACCACATCAACCGATTTTGATAATTGATTGATAATTTTGATGAACCTGTTTTAAGTTCAATTAGTTTTTGTCAACTTTGTGCAAGCTTTGAAACTTTTATTTATGTGGTATCGGATATAGATCGACACATATTTTAAATGAAAATTATTAATAATAAATAAATAAAGATAAGTTGCCAGCAGCATCATTTTGAATTTTGCTGTTATTATTTTGACCGCAACTGTATGTGTGTGTTTGTGTGTGTATGTTGCGTGTTATTTTCAAAAAATGTATTTTTAACGCGATAATTCCGCAAATTTGTTAACGCTATTTTCTGCTTTCAGGCCCACTAATTAAGATGCCTACGCAACCGTCGACTTCGCACTATCAATCGCAGGCGACTCAGCAACCACAACAGCACCTTCCACCGCAACAACAGCAATCGCAACAGCAAGTTTTATTCCAACAACCACACACTCAGGCAAATGTACAAACACATGAACCTCCCGCCACCACTAGTAAACTAGCCGCTGACGGTCGACAAGTGCAACTAGTGGCCATACCGCAAACATCGGGACCCACTGCGGTGGTGGCTTCCACTAATCAAACACCAACAGTACAACAACAACCCACCAATGTAATGGCTTCAAACAATAACAGTGCCAATAATATTAATAATAGTAATAATAATAATATATCGACGCCAGCAACTGCCACCATACTACCACCACATATCACCGGTATGCCCAGCAATGTATCGATATCGGTGGGTTCACCCGCATCAGCAACTGCACTTATTCAGCAACTCACCGGCAGTTTGACATTGGCGGTATCAGAGCACTGCGAACGTCTTATATTGCGGCACAATCCAAATCAACCACAGGATCAGCAATCGCAGCTAATACTCCAAGCACTACTTAAAGGCGCATTGCCAAATGTGACAATAATCAATGAGCCAACTAAACTGGATAACAGTAATAATGGCGGCGGTGGCAGTAGTGGTGGTAACCAGCAGAATAACCGCACGAATGCGGGTGGAATAAATGCAATAGCACCGACATCGGTGAACAGTGCTTCGCAGCCACAACAAACTAAACCAGCGGTTGCGTCCAACACCGGGGCCATAAGTAAAGTCACTCTGCCAACGCATGTTTCTGCGCCTATAGGAACGAAAACGCCCACACTACAATTGCAGTTCAATGCTTCGCAAACACCGATTTCCGGAGGTGCGTCTGCAGGAACAGTGGGATCAACTCTTCAATTACAAATGCCGCAACAGTCGCCGCAACAAAGAGCGCTGGCACAACAGCAAGGCATGATTCATTCTGCGCAGCAGTTGTTGCAACAGCAGCAGCAACATCAACAGCAGCAGCAACAGCAACAACAACAGCAACAACAACAACAGCAGCAGCAACAACAACAACAGCAGCAGCAACAACAACAGCAGCAGCAGCAACAACAACAGCAGCAGCAGCAACATCAACAGCAGCAGCAACAACAACAACTGCAGCACCTGCAACAACAACAACAACAACAACAACAACAACAACAACAACAACAACA